ACCGCCACCAGCAGCCACTACCACCACCAGCACCATCACCGCCGTCGTTGTCACCACCAGCTACCACTGCCACCATCACCACCACTTTCGTCACCACAATCAATGCCACCACCACCATCACCACCATCGTCGTCGCCACCCACCACTGTCGTCTCTACCACCGCCACTGCCCTCACCACTACTGCTACCACCGCCAAAATTTAACCGTTTTTATAGTTTTTATAATGTATCTTACCATATAATTTATAAAACAATGTAAAATTAAGCAAAACATGCAAAAAGGGTAATTATGTCATTTTACATTAATTCCAATTCTATTTTCTGCGAACCAAACAAAATCTGGAATTAATTCCAATTCCATTTCCTGCCAACCAAACAGCATATGGAATTGGATTCAAATTCCTGAAAGATTCCTTTTCCAATTCCAATTCCAATTCTTTCAGCAACATTCTGCGAACCAAACAACACCTTAGGGTGTTTGGGATTTACTTATTTAACATAATTTATTATTATTATTATTATTATTATTATTATTATTATTATTATTATTATTATTATTATTATTATTATTATTATTAGACAAAACTCCAAAATGGTCCCTATGGTATGCATTTTTTTGGGGTTTTAGTCCAAACCACAAAATTTTTGGATTGGTGGTCCTTTTGAGCTAGTTTCTTTGTGTTTTTGGTCCCTCAGTAAACTGAAAAGACTATTATGCCCTTCTAATATATATTTTTATGCTTTTTCTATTTAACTTAAATGAAAAATAAAATAATTAACTAATTTGGGCCCACATCTCTCTCTCTCTCTAAAACAAAAATCCCGATGTAAAACCCTACACCTCTCTTTATCCCATCTCCAGCAAAAGAAAAACGACCACAATTGGTGCTCACGACCTTCCACCATCTCTTCCCGACACAGATCCGTCGACGGCGAACCAGATAACCCACTTCTTCACTCTTCTCCGTTATCTTTTCTATTTCTCTTTTTTCCTGTCGAGACTTAGCCATCATCCTTAACCCCCTAAACCCATTGTATTCTTCATTCGTCAGAGTAATGGAATCCAGGTTTTTTAATGCACGATCCATCAGCTTCCTTTGTTTCATCTCTTGTAAATTGATCTATGTGTTATTATTACATCTGTAGAGGCGAGTTTAATCAACAAGAAAGCTCTATCACTTTCCATCTCTATCACCCTTATTAAGGAAGAATGATCTGGGTATCAGATGATATTGTTCTTTCCGATAAACAGTGTGGTTTAAGGATTTTTATGATCTGGGTTTCTTCCCAATTTGTCCTCCACATTTCTTTCAGGTAAGTTACTAACCGTGTGTCTTAGTTGAAATCAGAGAGATGAGAGAGCTAGAAGAGAATCGAGAGGGAGAAAGAGAGTATGAACGAATGAGAAAGAGAGTATGAACGAAGGAGAAAGAGAGAGACCTCTAAAGAAAGAAGAATACGCAACCATCGTCGTGCCTGCCAATCTGCCATGGCCTGTAATAGCGCCAATGGCGGCAGTGGAAAAGACGGTGATGACACAAGGTTGAGCGGCAATCGGAGGTCCTTCGGTGGTCCAACAACAATCGCATTTTCCTTTTTGATTTTGGGTTGAAGGTACTGTGAATGGAAGAAAGAAAAATAGAGAAGGAGTAGGTGGGGAAGAAGACGAGAGAGAGAGAGAGAGAGAGAGAGAGAGAGAGAGAGAGAGAAAGAGAGAGAGAGATAGAGAGAGAGAGAAAGAGAGAGAGATAGAGAGCGGGCCTTTCTTTTATTTTTTAATTATTAAAATAAATAAATTGGTATTAGATTTAAAAAGAAATGAAAGAAAAATCGAAAATAAATACCCCAAGGGTATTACAGTCATTTCACTATTCAGAGGGACCAAAAACGCAAAGAAACTAGCTCAAAAGGACCATCAATCCAAAAAAGTCGAGGTTTAGACTAAAACCTAAAAAAAAATGCATATCACAAGGACCATTTTTGCAGTTTTGGGTTTTAGGTATATTCGAATCCCGATTTATTTTAAAAATAAATGGCCCATTATAAATATACCCGACCAAATTGAAGAATCAATTGCCCATTAGGTAAAAACTAATTATCCTTCCCAAGCTGAGTCTATGACCCAAGAAAGGTAACGACATCTTTCTTTTTTCTCTACTACTGTTTACCAATTAGACCAGAAGGAGTGAGTGCGGTCTAGGCCGCACTCCACCCGCCACATCATCACGCACACCGCCCCCTGGGTGTGGTCCAGGTCTAGGCCGCACTGCGGCCTTCCAGGGGTGCACTCCCCTCTCTCTCTCTCTCTCTCTCTCTCTCTCTCTCTCTCTCTCTCTCTCCTCTTTTACTTGCTCTCTCTCTCCTCTCTCAACGAATCATCTTTCTTTCTTTTTCTTTTATTTTCTCTCTCCTAACCATTTTCCCACTCCCACGTTTGCGGTTTCAAATTGATGAAATAAGAAAAAATATGAGTTGGCGTCTACGTGGCATAGGAGAGAGTGCGGTTTCAGTGGCACCACTCCCTCCAGCCTTACCCTCTTTCTCTTTTCTCCTTTCTCTACCTGATGATCACGACGTCTGAAAGATAACCATGTCGCTTCCTCTTCTTCATTCTAACCCTATGAAGTCAACACTCAAGAGACCATCGTCTCTGATTCTCTTTCTCTGTGCTGTCTTCGGTTTAGACTTGAAAGGCCATTGCCATCGCCAACGCCATTGCTCATTACCACCAAAATTCACGTCGTCAACACTCAACACCAGTCCACCACCGCCAACAAACATTGTGGTTTCAAAGAATCAAAGTAAGTGGATTTCTATTTGGTTTTTTGTTAACGATTTCGAATTTCGGGGGGTTTAGAGTTTGAGAATTTCGGGGATTTGCTTCTTGCTTCTTTGGTTAGATTGTCTTGCATTGGCCATGAAAATATGTGGTATTGTTATTCATGCTTGTCTTCTGATTTTTTGCTTGAGAATATGTGGGTATTTGCGATTTCACAGTAGCCTTGTTTATTTAAATGGGTTCTTTATTTTTATAATTATTTAAGCAAATTGAATATGATTATAGTTAATTAGTTGATTTTTTGCTTGAGAATATGTGGGTATTTGCGATAAACAACCCCTCAACATCAAAAAATAGATTTTAGAAAGAAAAACAAGAAAGAAACCTGTTTGCAGCAAGTCAGACGTTGCGATAGGCATGGATAGGTGGCGACGAGACGACGGCAGCGTCGATTTGGCCAGATGAAAGACTGCACCTTCAATTTTTTGTGGAAGAAAGGAGAGACACTGTAGCGATGAAGAGAGCCGAAGAGAGGGAGGTTGCGTGCGTCGTTTTTTTTAGGGATATCAGTCAATTTTTTGAGTCAGCTACTAATAATCGATGGACCGGGTAAGCTATTGGGTCAGTCAAAGCTGACCGAATCAGTCCAAAATTACTAACCGGACCCAGTAAACCTAAAATCAAACAACCCCTTAATTGTCGACCTATAACACAGTAACCTTTTTGCTTCTTCAGTTATTATTCCCAATTAGCAACATGTAATAAACCAAGCACCAATGACAATGAGAATCGTATAATAACTAAAGAAGCCTAACTAAAGAAGTAGGCTTCTTGCTTCTTTTCTTTATTATCCGATTCGCATTCCCATTGTTGCTTGCCGTTTAATAGGAAAATAAATATGTTAATATTCTAAGAAATATTTATGAACAAGAATTTTTTAGAATATGAACAAGAATTGTGCGTAGAATATGTCAATATGATCAAACGTAAAACGGTACGCAACATTTTGAACGAAATATTGTAAACCCAAAGACAAAAATATGCTTCTTTGCCTGTTTTATTTATTTCTTAAGTTTTTATTTTACATGCCAAAACGCCAACCAATTATTTAGACAGATATTTCTTTGTAGGGATATTCGACATTAAACAACATTAAAATTACGACGTTTGGATTAATCCCATCAAATTTCTTGGACTTCTCGATCTCCTCTATTACTCATCTGTGCCTCCGCCTTGTCTTTGCTTCCATCTTCGCCGGAGATCTCCTCCAACGACCTCCCTTTAGTCTCCGTAACCAAAAACGTAAAGAAAAACCCCAACATATTCGTCACTGCCAATATGATCATCGCTTTCTTAATCTTATGTCTATCTCCCTGCAACGTGTATGTCTGAATCCCAAAAGCACCCACCATTGCTCCGGCCTTCCCGGCGGCAGCACTCATTGCATGGCAGGTTGATCTCACCCTGGTCGGAAACAGTTCCGCCGGTAAAACGAAAGTTGTGCTGTTAGGCCCAAAATTCGCAAAGAAGAAAGTCAATCCATAGAGACCAGCGAACAACCATCTGTTTTCATGAGTAGCGAGGGCGTCGTACTTGATTCCGATTATGAACATGAAAATTGACATCATGAAGAATCCCATAAGCTGAATGTTAAACCTGCCGAGTTTCTCAATGAATGCCACCGTGAACCAGTAGCCCGGAAACGTACCAAACATGGCGATCACAAACATGGCACGTGAAGTCTCGAACATTTCTTCCAGAGCGTTGACTTGTTTGGCTTTCTTGGTTAAACCCATCACCGGAAAAATGTCTTTTTGGGTTAAGTTTTGACTGTAGAATGCAATGTCTAACAAGAACCAGGTCGTCATTGTTCCGATCAAGTGACGTCCATGCCGATTAATGAACTTTCTAGAATTCAAAGGGTAGTCGTTGTTTGCCTTAAACATAGCCAACTTCTCTTGCTCCGCTTGGATCTCAATATCCAAGACCCGACCCATATCGGCTGCTGCTTGCTTCGCGTTTCCTTCAATCACGGCTGTGTACCTTCCGGTTTCCGGCATCTGGATACGCCAGTAGTATGTCAAGAGCGCCGGGAGAGCTCCGATCATGAGTACAATCCTCCATGCGTAGTCAGCGTTCTTCTGCGTGGAAAGCACAGGGTTGTCTTCGTACGCTGGTGCCCAGTTGGCTTTTAAGAAAACATGAGAAACGATCATGGAAACTAAACCGGCGAAAATAATTCCTACTCCTTGCATGGCAAACACTGCGGCAATAAACGACCCGCGGGTTCTTTTGTTCGCATACTCCGACATGATGGTGGCGGATAAAGGATAGTCCCCACCGATCCCAAATCCAAGCCAGAATCGGAAGAAACATAAGGTTCCAATCACTGCTTTTGGGCTGAAACCGAAAGACAAACCGGAGCAGATCGCACATATCACCATGAGAATCAAGGTTATCCCATAAACCTTCTTACGGCCAAGCTTGTCACCAAGCCAACCAAACACCAGTTGTCCAGATAGAGTTCCAACAAGGGCTACTCCAATCACGGCGTTGTTGATGTGGGTAGGGAGTTTTCCAGGGTTTCCGTCGGTGGTATGCTCCGGGTAGTAAAGACGGCCTAAGAGCTTGGAGACGGTGGAGATACAAAAGAGGTCGTATGCATCTGTAAAGAAACCCATTCCGGCGATGACAATGGCTTTGGCATGGTACCACTGGGTACGAGCTGTGTCTAGTGCTTCAAGTACTGATAGGTTATTGGAAGCCATTAATCTTTAATGTCTTCAAGATCCAAAGTAAAAGCTTCTTCTCCTTATTTTGGGTTTGGATGGGTTTCATCGTGATTAAATAGACAAGAAAGGACAAATATGTTTTGTTGAGATCGTTCGCAACTAGGGTGTTTCATTGGACTTGGGAAGAATATCCATGAATAAAATCGTAAAGTTCTAGGATATGTTATACGTTATAATTATTAATTTATTATGTTATGCATTTTTTGAAATTCTGGAAGGCTACGAGTTGCTAGTCTTGTTGGCATTCTTCGTTATTTAAATGTTAATTTTTTTTTTTTTTTTTTTTTTTTAAAGAAACATGGATTTTGACATTAGATCAAGTCATCTTTGCTAAGAGTTTTTTCACAATTTTCTTTTTTATTGACGTTGATCGCACTTTACGTCTGTTAACAATCAAAAATATTTAGCATACAATTGCTTTTTCTTTTTCAAATAACTTATTAATTATGAACCAGTATACCATTTTATTATTTTTTAATTGGTTTATTGAACAGTGCTTTTAAATTAATAAATCTACCATAATCATTGAAAAAGTTGTCACCAAAATATGTAAATTTATAAGCTTTAATTAGTGAAAAAAAGAGAAACCTCCGCAATATGTAGCAAGTTTTTTCACAGTTTAAAAAAAAAATAATAAATAAATAAAAACTATAATTAATTGTAAATGCTCTTAAGGTTGTTAAAAATAATGTGTTGAAGCGAAACGAAATGGGTTAATTTTATAAAATGACAATCAATAAAACGTAATTTACTCTTTAAGTCTCTTACTTATTTTATTGTATTAATAGGTCACTATTTTTTTTTGTTCTCTTATTTTTTGTTCTCAGTTCTCATGAACAAAAAGTGAACGGTACAGAACTAAATGAACAAATGTTGTCATATTGAATGTTAGTCGAAGGATTATAGAAATATTTCAATAATTAAGGTGTTGTTTGTTTTTTTTTTTTTTTGTAAAAAACCTCTTCAAACCTCTTATTGCTGCACGGTGCAGCACACGCGCAACACTTTTAATCTCGCAGCTGTTTGTTTTTTAGAAGTCTTCAGAGTAAAAAACCTCTGCGCGTGTTCTGTTTGGCGCAACACTTGTATTGCCTCTTCCAACATCTTTTTTTTTCTTGCTGAAATCTTGATTATATGTTGTTGAAATCTTATTTTATCTTTTTTTTTTCGTTTTTTTTATTTATTCTTGTTGAATTCTTTTTTTTTTTGATTTTTTATATTGAATAATGATAATTTCTTGATTAAATATCATTATTTTTTTTTGCTAAAATATCTTTTTTTTTGTTGAAATATCATTATTTTTTGCTGAAATATCATAAATTCTTGCTGAAATGTCATACATTATTAATTTTTCGGTATTAAAAAACTATTTCGGTTTATAAAATCAGTTTATTTTAATTTTTTAATATCTGCAACAGCATGCAGATGTTAAAAAAACAAACACGCTTCTTATTATAGTCTGCAGCCGTTTGGTCCACCTCTTCTACTGCAGAGAGTTGCAGTGGTGATCCACATATACTTTGTAAATTTTTGCTTCAAAAGGACAAACAACACCTAAATGAACAAATGTTGTCAATTTGTCGTATTGAATGTTAAAGTTGAAGGATTATAGAAATACTTCAATAACAAATATGAATTAATGAATACACAAATACACAATACTATACAATGAGTCTAAATGTCAAATAGTCACGAGCCAAAATTATCATTTTTTTTCTTCTTTTCTGTTTTGACTTGGAGTACAAATAAAGCCGTTGTCACTACCCGCTATGGTATTGTCCGACTGAGTGATTAATCACCGCACGTTCGTCCAATCTCCCTCTCATGATTGTCGTTGCAACTGCTTTCTATAGTGGTTTTTGCCCCATCTCAACCCGTCCAAAACTTTGAATATTTATATTTGAAAAATGAAAATTAGGTATTTATGTTTGAAACTTTTTATTTAATATTTTGTTAAAATGATATGTTTGATGTTTGAAACTTCCAATATTGATATTTAAAGTTGAAAATTAAGATTTTTTTATTTAAAGAATTAGAACTTTAGATTTTATTTTTATTACTAAAATTTGATTTGTTTTTTGTTTTAAATCGAACCAAACCGATTTTAGGGGTCGTTTGATAGTTGTTGATTGGGTTAGAGATGATTGGGTTAAAAATGCTGACCGAGTCTACATCTGACTGAGTTTATGCTGTTTGATTATTTATCTGACTGATTGTGCTGAATGATAAAAATGATCATATTATCCTTGTGTTGTCCCTTGTGCTGGATAAAATAATTATAAAAATAAAAATTATCACATAACATCCAAATTAAACATACATCATTTAAAATCCAAATACAAAGTGTAATACAAAATCCAAATATATATTGTCATACATAATAAAAAAGTACATCATTTAACGTGAACAATTTGAAAGTAACTGATTAGCAATCTAGTCACGCAAAGTAGTCATATAATCAACGACTTCTGAACCTCATTCTATGTCTTGTATGTTTTGGCATCACTTCCTCCACCTCCCACATTAGGAGTAACCATAGTGTTTTGTTCAAAGTTCGTAAATAAGTCATCTTGAATATCGTATTTTCTTATAAAATTATGGACCAGAACACAAGCAATGACTATGTCTCTTTGCACTGGAAAAGGATAAGGAGCCATACGTTTTAAAACTAGAAATCTCGCCTTCAATACACCATAAGCACGTTCAATGATGTTTCTAAGTTGTGCATGAGCATGATTGAACATTTCTTCCTTAGTTAAAGCTATGTTTCCTCGAAAAGCGGCTAACCAATACCTCGTATTGCGGTAAGGAGCCATAAATTCACGGGTGTTGGTGTATGCGGCATCACAAAGGTAATATTTATCTGTAGATGGTTGACAAATTTATCATATAAATAATATAGATAATAAAACTTATAGAAAAATTACAAACCTGGTGGAGGGAATGGAAATCCAGAAGTCGGATTAAATGCAACTTCTTTCAAAACTTTAGAATCATTTGCTATGCCCTCCCATCCAGCCCATACAAAAGGTGCATATCATATCAAAATCACAAATTTCTATTACATTTTGATAACATTCACATTTTCTTCTTCCCCTATAACGAGTTTGTTCATCAACGGGTACAACTGCATGTACAAGTGTTCCATCTAGTGCACCTAATGCTATAGGAAATATGTTTTTTAGCCGTCTTTGTCGTTCCGAGGTATTTCTTGTTGTATTAGAAGATTTTGTGAAAGACGCATCACATCGTAACATTGTATAGGACATCCGTGTATCAAATCTTGTGTATATGCATGCCCGGTTTCTTCCGATTCGTTAGCTTTTGTTCTTCCAATTCTTTTTTTTTTCCTTTTTCGAACCAACATCAACCAATACCATGAGAGTATAAAACCTAAAAACTCACCTTCCTTATCAATATGTAACCTGTTAAATGTTAAATGCAAATCACATAAATTTTATAACATAAACCATAACATTAAACAATAACATTAAAATGCATAACATATAACTCCATAACATACAAATCCATCACATAAAAATTCATAACATAAAAATCAATACCAAATAACAATCCTAAATATAACACATAAAAAACCTAAACATAAAAATCCTAAACATAACACATAACAACCCTACACATAAAAATCCATAAAATGTACCATAATATAAATCCATAAAGCATAAAGCCAAAAACATCCTAAAGTCATACTAAAGTCAACCAAGTAATC